TTGGGCTGTTTCCCACGAGTTGGAGAGTCTCTTTAGCAGGACTCGCATGAAAACTAGGCAACCCTTCGTTAGCTGGGTCCAATTGGGCTAACCAACCAAAACTATTCAGACTTTCCATATTGGGCTTGGCGGGTAACTTGTTTTCATAATTGGGCCAGCCCACATGAGGTCTGATAGAGTTAAGAGTACTTACCTGGATCAAGGGCCTTCCTTGGTGATGCAGCTGCTACAACCTCCTTGTTCATGGAGGGTTTGGAGTTCCGTGTAGCATAGTTTGGTTTTTTGGGAAACTCCACAATAGTCCACTCTATACGTAGTGGTACAACAGCTTGTAGTTGAGGTGACGAAGTGGTTGCCTCCATAGGTGAAGAGACAGGCGCCGAGCAGTGTTGTTTGGCATGTCCAAATCGCCCACAAGTCATACAAAGTAGGTTAAGACCCTCATATTGAATGGGTTGCTTATGGTGACCCAGGTTAACATGAGTTTTTAGAGGCTTTTCCAATGGCCCCAATTTCGACCCCACACGCTGGAGTATGTCCAAATCGTAGAACTTCGTCCGCAGTTCAGGGAGCCTTGCCCATAAAGCAGAGTATGTGAGTTGAGTAGCAGAAGCAACGAACTTAGGCTCCCAGCGACGAACAGATAAAAAGTGGCTTAGAACAAACCACGAACCACCATGGAGAGCCTTAATCATATTCTCCTCTTTCTGAGAAAGAAATCTGAACCCAGGTCAATGAGAGGAAGTTCCTCCGTTGGCTTCCAAAGATCAAGAAGTTTATTTTTTAGAATATGATGTGCAATCTTTTTGCCAAATAACTTGATGATAATCGAATATTTCCAAGGCTCATATAAGCGAGACTTGTCAGTCGCAGTGATAGGAATAAAGTTATCATCATTATCGTTGCATACAGTGATTTCATCTGTTAAGTCAGAGGTAAGTGCTGGGGGTTGGGATTAGCTAGGCTAGGAGAAAGGTGTTTGTCGAGTAAGAGAGTTTGGAGAAAAGTTTTAGGTTGAGAGGTAGTAGATTTATCATCTATTTGCATAGATCCTATGTCCGGAGGTTCAGTGGTTTGGTTTGTGTTATGAGGCTCAGATTGGTATGTGTTCATGTTGAGATTATTGAGTAGCTGTAAAGAAGTGAGAGGTAAAGAAGTAGCTGCAACGAGAAGGGTTTTTTACATCTTGAGAGAGTTTTTAAAAAAAAATGTTTTTGAGTTACAATTCCATAATCGCATTCTTTTCATTGTAAAGGTTCTTTCATATATATGCTTTTCTATTTTAAGTATGTTTTTTATTTTACTTGAATACGAATAGGAGTCTTATTGTACTGATTTCATATGAATAAGTATTTAAATCTGATATAGTAATAATGATATACAGAAATAATAAAGTCTTTAAAATTTATTGCATTTCTGATTTCATAGGAATACGTTTTTAAATCTGATATAGTAATAATGATATAAGAAAATAATTAAGTCCTTCAAAATTAATTGCATTTTAGAATACACATTGTAATAAATAAAAATTGTAAAGAATCTTACAACTAAAGGAAACAAAAACCAAAGGAAAAAAAACGTAAGGAAAGAACCCCAAATAATATAAATTCTAAAGAATCCTAAACCTAAAAGCAAGCACATGACATTTTTTGATTTTGCCCACAAGAAAAAAATAGTGATTACAAATTGACAACTACAAGTATATCCAACATATAATATACTTATGAAGGGTAAACAAGGCGAACGGTATTTCGATAGGAGCTTCGTGCTTTTAGAGCCCGTTTGGCCAAGCTGCCAAAACCTGCTTATTTTGAAAAGTACTACTTTTTTTCAGAAGTACTTTTGAAAAAAAATTGTTTGTGTTTGGCCAATTCATTTAAGAAGTACTTTTCACAACATTGATAAATAAATTATGTTTGGCCAATCTTTCAAAAAAGTGCTTTTGAGTGTCAAATTACTAAAAAGGTAATACCAAGGTCTTATAATTTTTTAACATAGAAAATTAAACTTAAATATTTATCGTAACAAAATTTTATTTTTTTAAATATTTTATTTGATTAAAATTTAAAGCATAAAGTAAACAAACATATTAAAGATTTTTAAATCAATTTTATATATAGTATAATTATACCAAAGCATATGCTATTATCTAGTATAATTACTTATTGTTATATTATGATTTGAATAATTAAAATAACATCATTCAGTATAAATTAGAAGTCTATCCACGAATTACTATATATTGATAATCCATTATAAAATAATAAGTAAAGCAACTCACGCATGATAATATTTTTCAACAATTTCTTCTCTACTTCTATCACACAACGCCTCCACGTTAGTAGAAGACTAGCCTCGCATTTCTAAAGGAATATCAGAAGGCTCATCTCCTTCATCAATCTCTGCAGTAATGTCTTCATTAGCATAATAGTTGAATTCCGTATCGGTAGAAGAATATCGTCAGATGAATTATGTATAACCATGATAGTTGTAACTAGATGATTCTGAGTGTCAAACTTGAAAGAAGGTATCGAGAGTAAAATAGAAATACTTTTAAATATATACAAAAATCGTAAAATAAATAGTTAAGTATGCTTAAATTCTAATTTATAAAGAGTAACTAATTATTAAAAACACATAATGTATAATTTATTTATTTTAAAAAAATTAAATTAAAAAAATTAATTATTACCTAACATTACTAACTTTGTCCCAAAATGCCAAGTGACCTATTGTGAGGCTGCCACTTGACTTAATGTGGATGCATTTTCTTCTTCTTTTGATAATATATAGATAGATTATGAAATGCAATTGTAAATTTATTACCTATTTGTAGGTCATTTTCATTAATTAGATTTGATAATTATTTTAAAGATTCAGGAACTAATGGCATATAATAGAAGAAATTATAAATGATTATTTGGAGGAAGAGAATTGATAATTTGCTTTAGTTTGAAAAAAGAAGAAGATAATTTAAAAAGTTACAAGACATTACACAAAGAAAAAATCAAAAACAAGAAATGTCAATAAAAAATTTGAAAAGTTACAATATGATTCATATATATGATATCTTTGATTTTAATAGAATGGTAAAAACTAGAAACAAAAATGAAAAGAAAAAAGTTAAACTAATAAGGGATAATTTTGGAAATTATAAATTTATGGTGAAGATAGTTTTGTCTTGAATAAATTAATTTTTTACTTCTGCTTCTGCTTCTTGGAAGAAGCTAGAATTTTCTGCTTCTTCCCAAAAGCAGAAAAACTGCTTCTGCTGCTGACCAAAAGTACTTCTTTGCATTGGCTAAACAACTCATTTTTTTTAAAAAGTACTTTTTCGGGAGAAAAAAAGTATTTTTGGCATCCCAGAAGCTTGATCAAACATGCTCCTAATATGGTATAGATAGATACAGATAAAAAATCAAACATGATAGGAAAATAGGGCACAACTAACAGCTGCATTTAATAAAAACCCAAATTGAATAAATGGAGAAATTTTATTTTGCGTCTCATAAAATTGACACTAGTTGTATGAGGCTTCTTTTTGTCTCACAAATTTGTGGACCCCAATCTTACACTTCTGGGTCCACATCCACAAATTTGTGAGACAAAAAGGAGCCTCATACACAAAATAAAATTTTCCTAATAAATGTGTTCTCTTTTTTTCAAGGAAATAGAAAAACCCAACAGGCAAACACCGTAAAGAAATTAGGGCACACATCTATAGTAGCAGTTACATATAAAAGCCGATTGAATACAGATTATTCCGTCTAAACAAAACATGTTATACCAAACAAATCAAAGCAAGGCTAAGGATTTGATGAATAATATGGAGCTGCATGACGATTTAGTTGTGGAAATTATCTCTTACTTGCCTTTGAAGAAATTAATTCAATGCAAAACTCTAAACAAGAAATTCAACCACTTACTTTCTGATCCAAATTTTGTTGAAACCCATGCCTTGCCACCAGTTTTAACGCTTCTATATTCAGAGTCCATATCCCCTAAGATTTACAACAAAATTTCTCCCTACCCAATCTCTACTTGTAGTAATAATATTGAAACAAGACAGTCCTATGTCGAAGTTCCAAAGGTTGTAGCCTCATGCAACGGCCTCCTCCTCTTGCTGTACTGGTCAATCCTTGACACTTTATGTGTTTTCAATCCCATTACTGGGATGAAACAATGTATACCGTTTCCCGAGCCGTTTACTGGGGTTAAGTATACAATGCATCCATATTTTAGAATTATTTAGTGCATCCATATTGTTTGATGTTATTTATACATATACACTTTTAGGTTATCTTATTTATTCATTTATATTAAGATTACGACGCCTGAATCTCAAGACATCATTCAATATTAAGATGTGCTATTAAGATCTTAATAATGATGGTAGTTGCAAGTGATGGTTAACAATGATGCTCGATGGTGCTAGTGTGACACCCTAGGCGAATCTCACATCGACAAAACAAGTGAGAGATGCTAAGTAGTATGACCTTAGACCCTAGTGACGCGTTTTAAAGCCGTACGGACCTAGGCCTAAATGGGCTGGGTAGTTACATAGACTTGCCTTACACCCTAATGACACATTTTAAAACCGTACGGGTTTAGACCCAAAACGGATAATATCACTAGTGGGCTGGCTGTTATATACACATAGTTGGCGGTGATGGTTGATGATTGTGGTGGAGAATAGTGATAGCTAATGGAATTCTTTTGTTTATATCCTCTTTTCATTATCTTTATGCCTTCCAGTGGCGGATCTATATGCTGATTTTGGGTGCTCAAGCACCCATTAACTTTTGACAAGATTTAGTAAATTTGTATAGGTAATTATAAAAATATTTAGATAAATATTGAGTGAGCACCCATCACTAAACTCTTTTTTCCTCTTCTTTCAGAATTTTTATCAGTGAGCACCCACGACTTTAAAATCCTGGATCCGCCACCCTTCTAATATTTTATGAAGATACTAACTCAATTGCTTATATTCTAAACATATGCTTGGTTTAGGCTTGGGCTCTGACTATCCTAATTCTGATCAATACACAGTGGTGATGGTTCAAGTTATCGGTAAACAAAAAGGGTATGAGTTGAACATGTTTTCATCAGAGGACACTGCAGGGGTACTATGGCAAGGTTACCAATTGACAACGGACTCGGCAAGTTTTGAATATTTCTTCAGTAAACCTGCTTACTTACATCACACTTTGTATTGGCTAATGGCTGATGGTTGTGTTCTCGCCTTTGATACAAAGAAGAAAAGTGCTAGAATTCTTAACAACTCTCTTCACGTCATTAAGCACCTTCCAAATGGTAATCTTTTTTTCTTGTTCTTTTTTATGTTATGAAAATTAATGCATCATATTACAACCAGCCGGTGCACAAGGCATCCCGCAATCATGTAGGGTTCGGAGAAGAGCTAGATCCAAGGGGTGTGATGTAGACAACCTAACCTAATGCATCATATTACATATAGAGATAATCAAAGGCGAAGTCAGGAATTTCAGTAAGATTTTCACTATTTAATATTTGACTTTACAGTATAATTGTAACAGCCCAACCCACTAGTGATATTGTTTACTTATATACCCAGCATCACTCCTGTATGGATTCGCCTAGGGTGTCACATACACCCCCCTTAGGGACTTAGCGTCATCGCTGAGGTTTGTCCCACCATCGTTCAAGGTTGCACACGGAGTGGCTCTGATACCATACTTGTGAGCTACACCATCTCGATCCCCAAAAGCGGACAAAGCGTGCCGTGGGCTTGGGTTGTGACAATTATTTCGCGACGAAGGGTGCTCAACGATGATTGCTGATCAGATAGATAACTTCTTGTAAAATTTTGATTTCATTGTTATTTTCTAATATCAAGATTAATTTAATAAATAGTAAAAATCTGATTTTTGTTAAATTTTCAGGAGATAATAGAATCAGAATAGGATATTATACATGGTTTGGGGTGGCTAAAGGAAAACTTCACCTCGTTTGTACCTTAAAGAAATACATTGTAGTTGTTGCGTATGATGATAAAATCCAAAATTGGGAAGTTGTATACACTGTGGCCAATTTTCGCACTGGTTTAAACATGAATGGTCGTCCTTTATGTCTTGACAACAAACGACTACTCTTTCTAGTATATCGAAGGTCAGAAGATGGTGCTTTATATGAATATGATTTTAAGACAGAAACGTATAGAATCCTCGTACTTGTACCTACTAAATTTCTGGAACGTCAAGCTTTTGTACCTTTTGTTCCAACATTAGCCAAGGTCAGAAACAATGATTCACTCCATGCTATATATCCGACGGAAATTAGTCAACTTATTACTTTTGCTTTAGATATGCTGAAACAACTTTTTAGTTTAGATAATTAGCTTCGATTAATGGTTTATTTGATTATTAGTTACAGTCTTACAGATATGTTTTGCTTACACTCTTGCTTGGCGTGAAAGTGAGTACTTGTATTATTCTAGAATGTTGACTCTTTTAATTGATTTCTTGTATTGCTTCCTAAATTTCCTTTTTAGGTGTTTTGGTTAATGTGTAAATTTATAGTTTTAGACAATGTGTATTGATTAAATTAGTCAAAATTGTATGGCGTAGCCAGTTTTTCGATTGGCAATTGAAAAATAGCCACCGATTTAAATGTAATTGATTTCTAGCCATTTTAACTTAAATTATATGGTAAAATGACATAACTGCCCTTGACCTGTTTAACATATTGTTTAGTATCTTTTATCGTCTTTCTCTTTGTTTTTGTACATTGTACGGATTTCGCTTTTCTGAGAAAGCAGTTTTCTTCGAATCTTGTCTGGGTTATCTCCAATTTTCTTCAAAATTATGGGTGAGTTGTGTTTTTTACGATAATGTGTTTGAATTTTTGTTATTATTGTTGGTTTTTTTATGTGTAATTTTCGTTATTATTGTTGATTTCCGTACCGTTAGGGTTTAAATATTTGTTCTATTATAACTTTTATGACTTTTCTCTCTTCATTAGTTTCTTTTATTTCTGTTAATTTTGTCACTCTGGTAATTTCTTTTTCAAGTTTTTTCTAGTATCTGTATAATAGGTTTAATTTTCAAGTATTTTGTTGTTTCATCTGTATTTTTCTTCAGTTCTTTTCGAATTTTGATATAATTGAGTTTTGTTTCATTCCATTATATTTTACGGGAGGTCTGTTGTGTGCGAATAGTAGACGTCTACTGTGTGCATTTTGAATTATATTTTTTGTATATTAAATTTAGTAAAAATTTTCCAGTTGTAACGACCCGACCGTCGTTTTGAGTTCTAGCGCTCCGTTCAGCAGCCTGAGGCCATGAGCAGCTTCATTTCGAGTATTACGACTTGTGCGCGTGGTCGGAATTGAATTTCGGGAAGTCCACAGTTGATTTGGAAAGAGAAGTCTTATTTCGAAAGCTTAAAGTTGAAAGAATGAACTAGGAATGAAATTTTGAGTGAACGACCTCGGAATTAGGATCTGAAGGTTCCAGCAGGTTCATATGATGATTTCAGACTTGGGCGTATGCCCAGTGCGGGTTTTGGATAGCCCGGGAGTGTATTGGCGCCTATTGTGGAAGTTAGCATTTTTGAAGAAATTTCTTAAGTTTGGCTTGAAGTGCATTTCAGTGTTATCGATGTCCGTTTGGGATTCCGAATCTGAGAATAGCTCCGTATGGTAATTCTGGAGTTGGGAGCGCAATCGGAAGTGAAATCGGAGGTCCGTAGGTCATTTTGGAGCCATTTGGCTAAAGATAGAAATTCGAAGGTTTTTGAGAAGTTTGACCGGAGGTGGACTTTTTGATATCGGGGTCAGAATTCGATTCCGGAAGTGGCAGTAGGTCCGTAATGTCGAATATGACTTGTGTGCAAAATTTAACGTCAATCGGACGTGATTTGATAGGTTTAAGCATCGAAAGTAGAAGTTGGAAGTTCTAAAGTTCATAAAGCGTGGATTGGGGGTTGATTCATGATTTTAGCGTTGTTTGATGTGATTTGGGGCCTCGAGCAAGTCCGTAATGTGTTTTGGGACCGGTTGGTATGATTGGTTGGGGTTTCGGGGGGCCTCGGGTGGATTCCGGATAGTTAACGGATCAAATTTGGAAGTTGAAGAATAGCTGAAGGTATGCTGCTTCTGTTATAACCGCATCTGCAGTTCTAGAACCGCAGAAGCGGTATCGCAGATGCGGTCAGTCCAGCAGGAGCGATCAAGGGCCAGGCCAAGGGAAACCGCAGAAGCGGCCCAGTTTCTGCTGAAGCGGTTCCGCAGAAGCGGGACCCAGACCGCAGAAGCGGTCCCGGCATTTTGGGCCAGGTTCGTAGAAGCGATCCAAATTCCGCAGAAGCGGTTTTCGCAGAAGCAGTCAGTGCACCGCAGAAGCGGAAATAGCTGGAGGCAGAAGGTTGTTTTAAAATCGGGATTTGGCCATATCTCTCATATTTTTCATCGCTTGGGCGATTTTTGGGAGAGCTTCAAGTGGGAGTTACGTCATCTATGTTAAGGTAAGTTACTCCTACTCATTTCCAAGTTAAATACAAGATTATATCATGGAACTAGACATGAAAATTGTGGGAAAATTGGGATTTTTGAAAGAAAACCTAGAAACTTGATAAATTGGATTTTACCACGAATTTGAGAATGGAATTAGGAGTAAATTATATATTTGAGCTAGTGAAGCTATGGGTAGAGTATATCTTCGAAAAATTTCGAATTCCGGGAACGTGGGCCCGAGGGCATTTTTGTCAACCTTTCGATCGGGGTTAGGAATTGTTATAAATTGGATTATAATGAGTACCTTAGTATATATTAATGGATTTGTATTATTATTTGCTAGCGTTGGAGCCTTGTGCATTGATTCGAGTCTTCGGAAAGGCGTGGAATGCCGGTTATGTATCTTCGGAGCGAGGTGAGTCTCCTTTCTAACCTTGTAAGAGGGAATTGTCCCCATAGGTGAATATAATTGATTAAGTGCTCCTACTTGTGGGGGCTATGTACGCGCGAGGTGACGAGAGTCCGTGCGTAGCTGCTATTATGCTATTGTCCGGGTAGCTAGGACCCAAAAGCATGAATACTTGGATTATTTGTAAACCCTATGGTAGCTTGAATTGCTTAAATCACATGGAATTTGTAAATGAATTTCTAAAGGGATTAAACTTTACTTCTCAAAATTTGTCAAAAGAGAATTTGATATATTTTGATAAATATTCCCTGATAAGTTCTTACTTGATTGATTGAGCATGTATCTCTCTGTGTACCTGCGTCGCATGTACGATTCGCGAGCAGGGTATGTGTTTATTTTATGTTGACCGCGTCGCAGATTATTTCGCGAGCGGGGTAATAGATGCATCTATAGGCGCGCCGTCGACCCTCGGCAAGTGCACATTTTATTTCTGTTGGATCGGGCCGTCGCCTCGGCATGATTTGCGCATGATATTTATGTATATTGATGCATGAGAAATTTTAAATGATGATATTGCCTTTCATGGCTTGATGTAAATTGATAAGATAAAGAAGAGTAAACCTTTAAAATCCTTTATTAATTGTTGAAGGTGTTTTGCCTGTCTTCCGACTTTGTAAGTTAGAACTGCCATATAAAATCCCTGATTTCCTTGTACATTTAGTATATTATCATTGGACCTCTAGTAAGTGCCAAAGTTGACCATCTCGTCTCTACTTCTTCGAGATTAGACGGGATACTTGCTGAGTACACGTTGATTACGTACTCATACTACACTTCTGTGCATTTTTGTTGCACAGGTATAAGTAACTCTAGTGGCCTACTGGGCGTAGCAGCACGGATGACTCTGGGACTAGGTGAGCTGCATTGTTCGAGGCGACCCGCAGCTAGTGTAGTTCCTTTCAGTATTTTTATATTTATTCCCTGTCCACTGTATTTCGGACAGATGTTGTATTTTATTTTCCTTATTAATAGATGCTCATGCACTTGTGACACCGGGTTCTGGGATGGTTTTCGAAAGATGTGTAGTAATAGTTATTTCTTAATTTGAATTGAAGCAGAGATTGTTTTATTTATGAAAAATGGAAGGAAAAACCCTAGATTTTCCAAAGGTATTAAAAGAGAATTTGATTGATAATTTAGTTGGCTTGCCTGACAGAGGTGTCCGGCGCCATCACGACCCGTAGTGGGTTTTGGGTCGTGACAACATGGTATCAGAGCCAGGTTCCTAGGGTCTCACGAGTCATGAGCAAGTCTAGTAGAGTCTCGCGGATCGGTACGGAGACGTCTATACTTATCCTCGGGAGGCTGCAGGATTGTTAGGAGTACTTCCCTTCTTGATTCCTTATCGTGCGATTTGACTTCATGTGAGGCTTATGCCTTTGTTTCTTTCTTACTCAATCTTATGCGACGCGAAACGCTTGATGTAAATCAAAAATTGAAGAACCGTAATGGTACTACAGATGTGATAGGGGATGTTTCTCCCGGTATAGCTGATCAGATTATTGTCGTTGCCTTATGGAAGAATATTTTATTATTTCAGCCCAGTAGCAGTATTTTCGAGGGCTTTGAGGCTAGGCACAAGTTGCTACGGTGCTTATGAATGACTATTCTGCAGTAGTAATATGAGGGTAGGGTGTTGCCCACGTGTTAGGGCAGTGAATGATTTCAAGGGAGGTTTACTCAGTGCATAATCAAGAGATTCGATATTTTATTCCCGGCAGGGGGAAAGGCAACCGAACTAAGGAGGGTCAGATGTGGACTGGTGGAAGTAATGAGACTTGGTAATTGCAAGCGTGGTGGAATTTTTCTTCTATATTGGGGTGCTATCGTCCTAATTGGACGTATTAAGCTTGTCGGTGTTATGATCTTCTACAATTCGCCTTTGAGGCAAGGTATCGTGAAATAGTATCGGAGATACAACTATCAGATATCGCAGGATGCGGTGGTTCAGGATTGAATCAGTATTTCTAATGTTGACGGTTCGAGAAAGATGATCTTCGGAGAAGTTTGGAGTTAGTAGCGATTTGTGGATTCAAGTGCTATGATGATAAATTTTATTAAGGCAACAATTGGGCAGCAAAGTATGAGGAAGGACATGTGGGAAGTGTCCGGCGGTGTTTAAAACTTCTAGAAGGCCAGGTATAAGAAGTGCATGTCAGTTGGTTGAAGAAAGAATCGAGTTTGCCCGAAGTGGGAGAGTGGCGGATGTTGCATATGGGCTTGGTAATAAGATGACTACGCGCCTTAAGGAGAGAGCGATTTGGGAATATTGGTGCTTGGCTATTGGGGCCTACGGAATTAATTATAAGGAAGAGCTATCATGCGGCAGGAGATTTAATATAACAGAAAGGAGCCGCTTAAGTGAAGAAGGATGCAGCATAACTTGGAATTAGAAGGATGTGCCGCACATTTGAATGATGTCCACAAGGGGTGAATGGGTTATTGATGTCGTAGTGATTGTACCCCGTGTAGCAGTTCTGGAAGATGTCGGGAGTGATTTCTACAGGTAGTTCATCCCTGTGAGCAGGTTAGCAGTCGCGTGGTTGGCGAGGCTTCTGCGAAGAGTTCTACTGGTTATACAGCGAAGGGAATTCTTGTGTGAATGTTGATAATGATTCAGAACATAAAAAGGGGGGCTTCTACCGTAAGGTATCGAGAATTTTGGTGATTGATTGCGTAAGGTTATGTCAATAAGAGAGGAGGAACTCCGGTGAGTCCCAGATTTGTGAAATAATGGCTTCAAGCTAAGTGGGAGAGTCCCACCGCTTATGATTGGGTTGCATAGTTAGCTACTTGCGAGGTTTCTGGTGATTAGCATATTGATGGGTTATTTCAGCTACGGGAAAGGAACATAAGTGGTAATTCGAGCTAATGAATTGTCGAAATGCATACTATGGTTGGCCTTATTGGCTCATGTTCAGACTTGGGGAAAGATTCAGGATTTATGCCTTGTATAAATGCAGGTTTCAAAGGAAGTAATTCCGCCGGGTGCCTCGTCGAGAGGGTATTCATGTGTTATAAGATTTATGGAGTTGATTATATTCGGGACCAAGTCAGAGCGGGTGGCTCTCAGTAATGGTCCTAACGGATTCAAAAGAGGTAAAGTATGGTGCCTAATGAATTCGAGCCTATAAGTACAGTTAAGAATCAAGCTTCGCAGCAGCATATGAGTGGAGGCTCAGAATGTTCTATGATGTGTTGACTTGCATTATAGCACTTGAGAGAAAGATGAGAAAGGACTTCGGATTTGTAGAAGGATTAGCAGAATGGGCATATCAGTTGAGAGTGCGAATATGCGCGTAAGGAAGGTATGAAGTGGTTCGCGGGATACGGGACAGCATAGTCTCGTGATTCGAGGCCACTCGAGATGGGTGCAGATGGAGTATGTTATGTGTTGGATGGAGTTAGTATTATCTCTAAGGCAATCGAGGATAAATTGGAAGAATGTAGATTGATTAGCCATAGTTGAATTTGGCATATTGATGTTAGTGATCAGTTCCTTCAGCGTGATCGAGATATGCGAGTGATTTGTGATGGTACACATCAGGCTTGTCAGCCGCCGCAATTGATGTTATTCAGAAGCATTCTACTGTTATGGCTTGTTAGGTGGAAGCAGAATTCCGGAAGGACAGTGGTGGCTTGGACCACTACTTAGAGATTTGCATATTCTACGATTATGAGAATTCACCGGTGTGATACTATGGACCTCCTGGAGCGAGTTAAGTGAAAAGTTTTTAGATGATGAAGTGTTAACCTATTAGTGGTTCCGAAGCTATGATGAAAAATGAGTTCTATCGTATATTGGCATGTTAAGTGCAGTAAATGGTATTGTCATCAGCGTCACCTGAGATCGGTGTTGTGAAAAAGGCTTTGTATCCTGGTTAGGGGTTCTTGATCGCTTTTCGGCGTCAGTATGGCCGGTGGTTTGGAGGTACGACCTAGTTATTTGTTATGGTAGGTTGTGGGAGTGTGTCCTACAGGGAGATCGTATAAGTGAGGCAGGTAGTCACTAGATTGATTAAAGACTTAAGCCAAGTATGAAGGTTGTGATGATAGCGTTGATTTGAGAGTATATGCCTGGAGGGCACTCAGTTACTGAGTTGTGAACTGTGGATGAGTACCCCGGTTGTGATGGTTGTTCTTGTATGTTATGAGAAGAGGGAAATTAGTATGGACCTTTGAAAGCTTATTGGCTTATTTTGATATGATCAGGATCGACTTGAGGTCGGTGGATGGGTTTAAACATGAATTTGGGCTCCATGTCATGTCAGTTGTGTTCATTTCAGTAATGTGCTCCTTATGGAGTAGTCAGGATGTTATTTCGTTGCCAAATATTTCATGTAATGATGCGTTGTGCCGTGTGAGTTGTGAGACGGCTTGAGGAATTGCTTGTGTGTTGAGGATCTGCGTAGAAATGATGTATTATGAG